GTGTGGTTCAGCAGTAGGGGTTGATCCACGCTTAAGCAAGGTCAGGGGTTCAAATCCTGCCTTGTGTATGCAGCCGCGTTAAATCTTGGGGCTAGCTATCCCACCCTTTGAGGTGCCTCAAACGTAGCGAGGAGATTAGTCACTGCTCGGCGGTGGATACTCCAGGAACGAACCTAAAAAAAAAAATTAATTTTTTTCTATAATAAAAAACAAAGGAACTAAGTCTTTATAACAACAATCATAATTATATTATTTTAATGCAATTTAAAATTAATATACTTCTTTTCAAAATTTAGTTTTTTTTTGTACAACCTATAATACTATCTATGATTCTAATTATGAGTAACAAATTAATTTTTTTCTTTGATCCCAACCAAATTATAACTAACAATCATTAATTTTTAAATTTATGTAGGGTTAAATTTTTTTTAAACTTTCATAACTCTATTTCTTATGCATTCACTTATAATTAACATTGAATATGATAATTATTTAAAGTAAAAGATTTTGAAATATTACTTAATTTTATGATAGAATTAATTTAAAAGAAATCATATTAATTAATTTGTTTAATCTTAATAAATTTTCCTATATTACTTATAATTAGGATGGAACGTAATTCAGTCTCATGAAGAGAAAATAAATTAAATCCACCATCTTCCTAATCTTAGGAACTTGGGTCATATATTATGACAATTCAGTAATTGCAAAAATTCTCTCTAAAATATAAAAGTATCTTAACAAAAATTTTAATTTATATATATATATAGGAGAGGATTCAAACGACACCAGTGTAATTTTTACTAAGTATTACACTACTCAATAACTTTATATTAAATGTGAATTTTGAAAATTCATCCGTTAGATTGAAAGTTCATATTTCTTAGATCATATATGTCAAATTTTATATTAATCTAAAATGATTTGATACTTCATTCTCATAAAACAAAATTGACGTAATATATACATTTCAAAATATACTAAAATATGAACACTTTGATTACCTTCAAGTTGTTCAATTTTAACAAAATTTGATATATATGATCTAAGATATATGAACTTTCAATCTAACGGTTGGATTTTCAAAATTCACATTTAATATAAAGTTATTAAGCAGTGTAACACTTAGTAAAAGTTACACTAGTGTCGTTTGAACCCTCTCTATATATATATATATATATATATATTTCTTCGCTAACAACATCTTTCTTTCTTTTTCTCTTTTTTCTATATAGCGAGAGAGTTAATTAGAGTGAAATATTTTTAATATCTATATGGTATGACACTTAGTACGTAGTTTCAAGCCTTCTCTCCAATTAAAATATAAAAAGTCAAATCATTTCGAAGGAATTGGCTTGAGTGTATGCATCTATCTATTTTAATTAACAACTCAAGTTGTGATAGTTTAAAAATCTCAAAGGAATAATAATAATAAATATAAAATATAAAGTATCAAAAAAAATAATTTTTTAAAAACTACTTGACTTTAATTAGTTCCTGAATACATGAGAAGATATGTATGAATAACGATAATCTATACCGATGTCAAAATGCAATAATGTTTTTCTCCTTATGCAAAAAATAAATACTAAAATTTTCGCAAATATTTTCTCAATTCTATAAAATAATAGTAATAATTTTTATTTCCATACTATATTTACAAATAAAATAGATTAAATAAATACTTAAGGGGGTGTATTGGTTTAGGATTTCGTAGGATTTTCGACTCCCGAACTTCAATCCTTCAAAATCAAGCGTCTTAGCTTGAATTCCAAAAGAAGACAGAAGAAGTTAGTGATCTAGAGAAGAAGAAGAATCAACCAAAGAAATTTGAGAGAGAAATGAGCTCACAGACCCAGAGTCTTTCTCTCTAAAACTTCTCTCTAGTTTCTTTGAGAATAAACTTATGAAGTCCCATTCTCAGAGAAACCCTTATATACTCTTCTCTCTCTAGAGTCAACTAAGCTCAAAAATCTCCTCACTACGTTACATATGTTCTACATAACATATGATTATAAAATATAATATCATTTTAATTCCTAAAATTATAACACTGTGTAACTTTAATTCTTGAAATTATAACTCAATATCACTTTAGTCTCTAAAATTTTAACTTAATATCATTTTTTTACTAAAATTTAATGTCACTTTAATCTCCAAATATTGTCATAACTTTATTTAATCAAGTAATTGTGACTTGAATATTTACACAATAAAATAAATAATTAAGTTAATATTGTAATACAATGATAAATTTATTCATCCTTGAATTGTCAAATTTTTATTCTGTTTTATTCATTCTATTTTATAATACATAAATAAATAATTTCAATATATATATATAATAAAAAATAGAAAATAAAAGAAAAAAAATGTAATTTTTGAAAAATAAAAGTAATATATATTTTTCGTAATAGAAAAATAAGAAATAATTTATATAAGAGAATTAATTTTAAAAATAATATATAAATATAGAAAAATTGGAAACTATTTTTATTTATGTATTTTATAAAATAAAATGGATAAAAGAAAGGGGAAATTGAAAATTAGAAGGAAAGATATAGCATATTTAAAATTAAAAAAAAATAGTATTTTAGTTTGTACAATTCACATGTTAAATGTTTATTATATATATTGAAATTTAAAATAAAGTATGTATATAAATAAATATTATGTTTGAATATAAAAATTATATATAAAAGTTGAATAAATAGTTATTTTTAAATATATAAATTATATTTTAAATTTATGATAAATAATTTACATTTTAGCACAAGATTATGATAATTTATTTTAAAAGTATTCATATTTAGTTCATAAACATTTATGATAAATAGAAACCGAATTAGATATGAAATTAAAAGAGTTTTTAAAAATCTTCTCGTAAATGAAAAGTTTCTAAAAGTGCTCTTGTACAATATAGGTGTTCATGTTTAATGTATAGGAATTGATATAATGTTAAATACTAAA